AAAATTTTGAGACCAACCTCAGCAAGAAGGAAATGTATTTTTGATTTTTCAAGACCCTGTCTCCGAGTAGAAAGGGCTAGGAATGTTGTTTAGAGGTAAAACGGTTTTAATCCATAGTATCAAAAAAAAAAAAATTCCCTTCATATAAACTAGGGGTTTAGCAACCTGATTTTTAACTCCAAAGTCTGCCCTCTGATGTATATGGTTGCTGTTATGTAGGCATTTGGGCAAACAAGGTCCTCAGTATATTAATATGCTACATGAGGGCATAAGAATGTAGCTCTTAATTAGCAAACAATGGTAATTTGGTAGCATTTTATGTTAAACATGGATAAGTAGGCATTAAATAATGTACAAATTTTCAAGACAAAAAACACCAGGGAAAATTTGTACTTTCTGAAGGTCTTATGAGACACCATGAAACTTGTCACTCAATTTTGTCAGAATGTGTGGGACAAGTATTCATTAGTTGGACTGCCAGCAATCCCACAGCTTTTTTTGAGTTTTTGTTCAGGCTGGAGGTTTTATTTATTTTGGTAATGGGCATTGAACTCAACGGTGATTTACCATTTAGCTATATCCCAGGCCTTTTTTTTTTTTTTTTTTAATTTGAGTCAAGGGTCTCACTAAATTGCCCAGGCTTGCCTCAAACCTTCCATCCTCCTGCCTCACCCTCCACAGTGGCTTGGATTACAGGCATGCACTGCCACACCCACTTCAGGTTACAGAGTTTAAAGTAATAAACTGGGCTTAATACCAGTGCCTTAAGGAAACCAGTAATGCCATTACCTAGAAACCATTGCTTGATGGTCATTCTATCTTTGTTGTGATATGTATTCCTTCATATATATATATATATATATATATATATATACACACACACACACACACTCAAGTTTTATCTTAATTTTATCTTGCTATGGTGCTTTTCTCTATAGCATTCTCTTAGGTTTCCTTTCCAAATTTTAAACTGTACACAACAACAACTAATGTAGAATTATTAATACTAATTGACAGCAGTCTGGAAGAATCATTCTGTTTAGGGAAGGAATTTGTGTAGGTGACTGGAAACATTTTGGCCCTGCTGCATAAGGAAATATTCTCTAGTGTAGACTGTCATTCTAATATCAAAAAACAAACAAAGTCTGCTGCACTGAGGCTACAAAATAACAAGTTCATTTCTGTAAATTCTTGTTCCAGTTACTAAGAGATGCTAGAATTAGCAGTAAACGGGCAGATGGGGAGAGCACAGCTATAATCCCAGTGACTGGGGAGGCTAAGGCAGAAAGATCTCAAGATTGAGCCTGGGCAATTTAGTAAGACTGTCTCAAACAAAAGACTGGAAATGTAACTCAGTGGTAAGCTCCTCTAGGTTCAATCCCTAGTATAAAAAAAAAAAAAGTGATTTTCTTTAATACTTAGTTCTGTCCAGTCTTGATGCAATTTTCTTTATCGTAGGAAAAAGGAATGTGGAGTGTTATGCACCACTCTTCACAGTTCCATTGTACAGTACTGTCGGCTTGCACATGCATTTATTGTGTACTCTATTTGTAGTATATTAATCCTCAGGAAATGCCTGAGGATGTTAAAATGCCAATCTTAGGTTGCGCCCCTGGGGGATATGGAGTAATAACAAACACCCTAAGTGATAATGATATTGGGGAAGCACCGCATTACAGCAGATTAAGCATGGGTTGACAGCGTTAACCTGTCAGAAGTGCGTGGAGACGGTGCGGGGCCCCACCGCAGGCCTATTGCCACACCCCCTGGCAGGGGCCCAGCGCGGACTGATGCTGCCCCCCGGCGGCCGCGCCGGCGCAATGCGACCCCGCGCCGCGGCTGCGCAGTGCCGCCCTCTGGCGGCCCCGCTCCT